TGCATTTTTATTAGTCATGTTTTTTCCGTTTGTGGGGTTAAAGAATCTGTCTAATGTTGATTGCTTTTCCCTCTTCTTCAGGATTTTTCGGAAGTAATTAATAGCATTGTAATTGTAGATATCCCTAAGACTATTAACCTCAACCCGGTTTGGATGCCATTCTAAGACTGTCGTTCTGACATCATCCCACTTCAAAAAAATGTTTAATAGCAGATATCGGCATTAATCCTCTTTTTCAGAAGAAAACATATCTCGCCAAGTTTTTTGACTTTCTTCATTCAAGAGTTCTTGGTGTTCTTCTGTCATCAGATGCATTTCAGGTTCCATTATGAGCTCTTCAATGTTCTTTATTTCTAAGATGTGATTTTTGTTACTCCTTTAGCTGCTTGAGTCTTCTTGCTTATACTGTATCTTTATTAGATAAGATTAAACTGCACCCTACTGTAGATTTGTTGAAGCCATACTGCCCAGCAAATTTAGATATCTTCTACCCACTCTCTATCTTTGCTATTTTACCTTTTCAAAAATAAAACTCGACGCAAAACTTAACGAGTGCCTGCCTGACAGTCTCGCGAATACTATAAAAGAATTGTTTGTCTGAAAAATAAGGCTGGAATTACAGGGGAGAGTTTCAAAGTTCAGAGTAATACTATCCGACCAGTATATACCTGGTTGAGCGTCGATGTTGATGTCTCCCGCACTCCGAAAAGTTACAAAATGAATGTTGCCTGAAGACAAGGGAAGACTAATCAGTATTCATTATTTTATGTTGCTACTTCTTGTTCTGAGAGGTGTTCATAGTCTGAACATAAAAATCTATTACAAAAGTGTTCGTTATCCGATTTGTTCGTAGTCTGAACTGTTCGTTATCTGATCACACACTGTAATTATTAATTAAAAGTAATTGGAGTAAAAATAAAGTAATGCCTACTTTTAATATTTTTTAAACTTTTATTACTTCTTTATTATTTTACAATATTTTAGTTTGTATAAAATATTGTTCCTTTTACCCAGATTGAAGGTCTTTGTCAGTAAATGATCTACTCAATCAGTACCTTTAAGATTGCAAGAATGCATTGAATTAGATGGCAAGCATAGAACCTTTTCTGTAAATTATCATGTTGTATATTGATGTCACACCAGAAATTATTTTATATCCTAAATAATTCAGAATTACAATTATTCAAAATTTTGAATAAATTGTTCTTAAATACATACAACTAACCTTATGCCATTGCCATGCTTTCTTACACATGGCAATTGCTTTATGGCAATCTAGACACATTGCTTTGACGATTATTAATGAAAATTTAACATCTGTTCAATTACAACACATTATGTAACTTTATAGTATTATTGTTATTTTTTAATATTATTATAATTTATCATCCATATAACATTTAATCATTTGCAGCATATGTATGTTAATTTTATACTGTATTATTATAGTTTTGTATTTTATAAATATCTAAATATATAAAATTACTTGGACTGACTGACTGAGTGATTGTCTGATTGATTTGTCATCACCCAGAGCAAACCGCTGAACCTAGAGGTGAAATTTTGTACACAGTTAGGGTACGTCACGAAAATGCACACTAAGGAGGGATTTTTTGAAATTCCCCATGGGGGAGAGGGAAAGGATTAAGGCTTAACCTGAAGAATGGCTTCTACTGTAATATTTTAGATGCAATTTTTTGCTTTCAACTACGTTTAGTTTTCATTGAGTATTTAGGTGTATTAAATTGATAACATTTCAGACATTGTTATAAATATTTTTATATATTTCGATTTTTTACCAAATGTTTGAGCCGTTTTAAATTCGAATTTGTTATTGAATATTGGTTCGATTATAGAATGATTGTAAATGTTTTAGAAAATTGATCAAATTGAAAATAGTTTGTTTGATTCTCGGCAATTCTCATCATTCTCAGTGGTAGGTGTTATATAACAATTTCTATGGTTGTTGAAATACTGAATGTAAATGGGGTTTGCTTGCAAAATTCGTGTGGGCAAAGTCGCGGGTAACAGTTAGTGTATATATATTAGATTTATGTAATTATTTATCACATAACTTTATAACTCTAGATGAAAAAAAATAGAACTTTTGAATTTTAAATTTATTCCTAAATTTTAAGTATTGTATTGATCACATGTATTGTACTGAAGCAGATCTATTATGAGATTGAAAACATCTGTCATAGTTGAATTAAAGCTTGCTGGTTTTAAAATTAAGGTTAATATATGTAATTCAGAATTTATAAGATAACAGTTTTATGTTCCTTGACATTGATCTTAATCTTAATTTTGAAAGTTTATTTTCTTCAAGATGAATCTAAAATTATTTAATAAATAAAATTAATAATTATTAATTTAGATAAGAGAGAGCACCTAACANGGTTGATTCTTATTGACTTTCATTGAATAAATTGTTATTTGAATTTTACTAAATTTTGTATATAGTTTATTACTAGAACTTTTATTAAATATTTAATTTGTTATTGACAAACTTGGTCATTATTTAATTCGGTGCACGCTTAAAGTCCAGGCCTGGCACACTAACGCGAATCCGCGTAAAGTACCCATTAGGGAACGGCTATTTCTGGCACACAGTCGTGTTGATAATCGTTGGAAAAGTCGGAAAAATAATATAGTACTTTACAGTGGTACATTTATTTATGGCAAAGATCTTATTTTCACTTTACTGAGTGTCTAGTAGGTAATGTGCGGATTACCTAGATACTCTGCACATTATCTAGGTAATTTGAGAAATGGAACAATTTTCACAACTTTAACAGATCATCCTAGTTAATCTGCAGATTAGCTAGGTAATGTACACATTAACGACTTTTGAGCTTTAGCAGTAACATATACACAATTTTAGGTCTACTCTTTTTTCTTATGAAACCTTTTCTTCTTTTTGATGCTTCTCCAAACTCGTTTCTGATTTCCTTTTCTGGTTTCTCGATTGAGCATCCAACAGTAGTCAGCTAACATATTGACATCTCATTTTCCTTGGTGACGTCTCTCGATATCACGGACATCCTGATGAAATCTTTCACCTTGTTCTTCATTGTAGGCTCCCAAGTTTTCGGGAAAATAGTCAATATGGGAGTGTAAGAAATGAACTTTTAAGCTCATCTTACATCCTTGAGCTTCATATACTGCTGCCAGCATGCATTGTACAATGGTTTTGTAGTCAGGATCCTTAGTATTCCCCAAAAACTTATGCACTACTTTCTTGAAAGAGTCCCATGCTTCTTTTTCCTTTTTTCCATTGTTTCCAAAAATCTGCTTTGTCTTGATCTCCAAGTTTCAATTTGAAATACACAAATTAAACTTTCTTCACAAACTCATTTATGTTTCTTTGTTGACTTTTCACTGTGTATTCACCACAAACATAACAGATGCTGTTGGGAGAAATTACACAACCTCTGCAAGCCATACTCCAGAAATAAAAATACAAGCACAGTAGCATTCAAATGCTGGATATAAACTGAGTGTGGCATTAGATGGCCAGCAAGATACTGAACTTATTTAGCTTGTTGAAACATGATCTAATCCAACAGCAGGTTGTTTATATTTATTTCTAGTATCCCAGATAACATGTCAAAACATGCTCAACGTCACCAATAATATTACTCACTATCAACTTTTAACCTGTTTCTATATGATCACGTGATCTTCCTCCTAACACTAAAACTACTTAACCCACCTCCCCCTATCACTACTCTCTTCAACCATTAACATTTTTATTTATTTATTAAAAAGTCCAGCTATAATTGATAGAATTAATGTGAAAAGTCTTCGTTTTAAGACCATTTTTTAAATAAATAAAAAAGAATACTAAATTTTAAGTTAACTAGGAATTCTACGCTAAATACAAACAAAAACTTGAGTGTAAGAAAAAAATTGATGAGATGGAATTTTTTTTTGGTATTTTTTTTTTGTTTTTACCAAGTTGAATCTGTAAGAAAATGTATAAAAATCCTATGCAGTTTTTTACTTACAGACCTGTGTAATCAAATAAATATTTTATTTATTTTTATGAAATTAAAAAATACAGGGTGTTTTTATANAGATAAGAGAGAGGACCTAACATCTACCTCTAGTAGCAAATTACTTAGTATTCAATCATTAAATAGCAGATTTATAGCCTGATTATTTAAGGTGATCATTTGTTATGTTTCTAAGATGTTCAACTTTATTATTATTAGTTAAATTAGATCAAAATGCATTATTAGAATTTAATACCCAAGAAACATTCACTGTACACAGTTTGTGATATAATGCATGTACTATGTAAGAAAATACCACCATACTATCACTTTGGGTTTATGGTGATATTTTTTTACAATGTATGCTTCCAGTTGTGATTTGTTTACATCATTGGTTCTCAACCCATGTTCCATAATAATAATAAAAAAAGAATTTTAAACAAAATTACTGAGGAAATAGAGAAAGGATGTCAATATAAAAAACTTGCACCTTATCTTAGATTACTCTAGCAAATATTTAATGAACAAGAATGTTTTCAACCTATTTGATAGGCCTTCATTAGTTGTTGAATACCCAACAGTCATTGAACATACAAACATTTGAATCAAATAGAATACACACAATTCAAAATTTAACTTTAAGATATGAATAGAAGGAAACACAAAATAAAAATTAACATTATATTAATAATATTGAAAACAATAATAAACAAAAGTTTAACTAAGTTAGATTTTGTAAAGTGATTTCTAAACATGGACAAAGTGTCTTCATTGCAGTAGTTAATGCAGCAAATACTTCTATTAGTCTTGTATATTTCCAAGATTTCCTTGTTTTTAAGGTAATTAAGATTGCTGGTAGACCTAATACCCCGTTCTCACTGAGCATTTCAATCTAAATTGATCAAGATCAGTGACTGTGCCATGGTGCAACCTCTCTCAACCATTTAAATCTCTACTGAAACAAGGTTCAATTATGATTGACTCAAGAGTTTTTGAAACTAGATCCAGTCATAAGATAGTTCCCACAATCCCACATGCTTGAGAAAAAACAAGATGGCTGCAGAACAAGTGTCAGGCTATCAACAGAGAAATAAAAAAGATATTTGGAGAGATGATGAGATCTGGCTATTCTTGGATATATAGCAAAAAAAAGGTATATATTTCTAACCAAAACTTTAATTTTGTTTGTTGATGTTCATGACTTAATGCATAGTTATGTCAGTTTTGTCATCGTTTGCAATAGCTGGGTTCTTCTCAAGCAGACTGCCTGTGCGAACAGCTCAATGTACAAGTAGTGACAGTTACAATTAAGATTGTGAGTAAATCAAGATCAAAGTGAGTCGTGGATTGTGTGCAAACCAGGGCTGTGGTATCAGTAGATTTTTATATGACTTCGACTCTGACCAGGGGCAGAATTGTTAACAAAATAGGCCCGAAAATTCTGACATCATTACATGACCTCAGAATATAAGCTTCAATAAATATAGTTCTAATAAAGATAGAACATAGAAACATTTTTATTCCAAAGCTAAAAGTAAGTAATGACATAGTCAATATATAAATATGTATTCATTAATTTTTACTTTTCCAGCTGTTATATATGAGGGCGGTTTTTTCCCAACCTCCAATAGTCCATAAAACAAAGACAAGTGGGAATAACAAAATGAATTTATTATCAAAAGTTAGGTACAAACATGGTTACTATTCAACATAATCACTGTGAAGATTAATCCTTTGCTTCTGCCATCTTGTTTACGTTTATCTTGTGTTCCCTCCTAAGGCAATATAGGTCAGTCAGGCGATATTATTTTAAAAATTCACCAAAAATCAAATTACAGTAGAGCCTCAAACTCAGCACTCGGTAACCTGGCACTCCGGATAACTCGGCCACACCCTGGCAGGGCAAAAAAATCCTTAGTTAATTAATTTTCATGATAAAGACAGCTTTATGCCTCATAAAGTGTTTTTCTGAGGTCTGTCTTATCAGNTTAATGTTAATTTTATTATCATAATATCCAAAGTCAGATTATTGACCAGATGATGCTACTTCATATTATTTAACATTGCCATTTTTATTTAGAATTTACCTTATCTTATTCAAGAAACTGAATGAATATTAATAATTCTATTACTCAGAAGAGATAGAAGGAAACCTTTTCCAAGGTTATAGAAATTTTGGCACAATTCTGTATCTGGGACTCAAATGATGGAAGCATCTATACCAGGGGTGGCCAACAGTTTTTGCCCCCCGGGCCAAATTGGAAAGAAAACTTTTTCCACGGGCCAAACCAGAGGCTGCCCTAGGAAGATTTTGAAGTGGTACACGATCTCATTGTGGTGTCACCCCATAGAGACTGAATTGTAGATAGAGATTACAGATACATTTTTCACATTATCATGCTTTATCAACATTCTATGCTGTACTTATGAGATTTGTAATGGAGGGTTAACTCTAAATGCACAGTGAGTTGTTGACCTTTTTTTTTTTTTTTTAGGTGTCAGAATATTTCATCGAGCTATTCGGACTTCAGTAGCTAATATTGAAAGATTGATTGCAGACCACATAAATTCATTAGACGGGTCAGATCTGGCCTGCGGGCCGTATGTTGGCCATGCCTGATCTATACCATCACAATCCACCATGCTGTCCCAGTAAGATCAGTCTGAAAAGCGAGGAGCATTCAATGGGAACATAGTATATTAACTATGGGAAGGAGTGGGATAAATACATTTCATTCTTTTCCCACATTTCAGAGGCATTTTATCACATATTTCATTGGAAATAGATGTATCAGCAATGTCTGACAATATGAAACTTTCAAAAGAACACATTTGCATACTGTTGCTCTATCATTTCGAAAGTGGCCAAAATGCAACAAAGGCTTACAGTCTCATCTGCAAAGATTTTGTTAGTGTTCATGAGTGAACAAAAGTCAATCAACTGTTGTAAATATCAAAAGGCCAACAATGCAGAAGAAGGTGATGATCTGCATTAATTTGGGGCATCATCATGATGAAACTGTTTCCAACCTACATCACTGTCACAAAAGAACTCTGTGAACAATTGGATCATTTGAATGCCAAGATCAAAGAACTTTGTCCAAAATTCAACAAAGCCTGATATGCATCAGTGCATACAGCAAAATGACTGTAGGAAAGCTGGCTAGTCAGCTGAGAGGTTCTGCTTCATCTACCTTACAGCTCAAATTTGGTCCCAACTGACTATCATCTATTTCACGCCCTGCAGAACCATATTGCCAATATACAGTTCAATGATAATATCCAACACTCTAGACTTTATTCAAAGAAAAACTCCAGTCATTCTATGCTCATGGGATTGAGTTCAGAGTCTGATAATATTCCTTTAACTGTTTAAAGTTTCTTTTTTAGTCATTTTGATGAGTGTAAGAGAAAGGTAAATTTTCTTTCACCTGAAGATAAAAATTGTCCTAATTAATAGGTTTGAGTAAAAAGAGATGGCTATTCTGGGATTAGAATCTTTGGTATATTTAAGATGATGATAGTGTGCTATTTGGCAGGCCATCTACAGTTTTCCAGATGGAGGTATTATTAATTTAGTTATGAGATGGCACCTAATGCCTACCTCTAATAGCAAATTACTTTGTATTGATTATTTAATTATAACCGAATTGCAGCCCAAAAATTTATTATTCGATTGTTGGATGTTCATAGATATACTCAGACTTTTTGGATTATGTTGTATTTGGATTATGTTGTTAAAAACATTAAATTAAAATGAAATATAATTTTCCATAAGAAAACCATTGTGAAATATCAAAGATATGGACCGTTTATTTTGAAAGTGGTGTAAGTCCATTTTTTCTTCTTTCAAGATATTTAAACATTTGCATTTTAGTTGATTCAAAAATATAAATAAAGTGTACTAAGTTTGTCAATGTTTTTATGACTTTAGAAATATGTAAGTTGATTGCATAAAGACTTCTATGTGAATTTAACTAAACTAATATATTCTTTCTGGGCCATAAATGGACTTACACCACTTTCATAATTATTGAACTGTAAAATTCATTAAATTTCTATTATGTAAAACTCAATTTCACTTGAAACACATTGTGTTTTATTCTGATTTTGTTCATATATAATAACAAGAAATAAAATAGTATTGTTTATTCTGAACATTAAAAATATTTACTTATTGTTAAACTATTTTATGATAAATTTATCATTATTATGAGCTTACCATTAGACACTGCTTTTCATTTAGATTCATTACATGGATTTTTTTCTAGTC